AAGGAGTGGTTATGTAGTTGAAGGGTAATTAAAGAGACATCAGACAAAACAAAGCATGTAAGGGCTCACCTCTGCTGCCATGACTTCAGGAGCCAAGTCCCTGAAGAGAGAATATATCTCCAACAGAGGCCTACATATATATACTCTAGGGGCGTGCAAGCCTCCCTTATTACAGGTTACCACATACGTAACCAAGTGGGCTGTACCTTAACCCTAAAATGTCCCTGAGCTTATTGGAGGACTAACCTAACACCAGTGCTGGGGACTGGTAAGGGGGAGTGACTGTCTTCAGAGCCTGGAGGGCAATAGTACATCTGCTCCTATAGTTACAGCTGCCAGCTAGAAAGAAATCAGCCCCATGCACTTGTAAGAGGTAACTTTAAGGCAGCACAATTATGGGAGGACATAGTGGGGAACAGTATTCATTATGAGAATTTGATTGGGACTGTCCAAGTCACAAGGGTGAAGGCCTCCCTCCACCCCAGAAACCCAGCCTGCCAAGCTTCTTAAGATCTGAGAATAAAGGATTCACCCCCACACACTCTATTCCCGTCCTCTGTTCCCCACAGATTCTGACTCAGTGGCCCCATAGGACACAGTGGAACTGTCTCTGTGGGTTTCCGAGATTATAACTATGGGAGTTAAACTATGTCTTTCTCCCTTCAGCGGGGCTGGTGGTTTTGAAATGCTGACCTTGCACTTAGCAGCTCAGCAGGGAAGAGGCAATTACAAAGGACCAGCCCCCTCTATTAGTGTTACACATGCCTTATTCGTATAGTCCTACCCAATCATTTAGTGGATAGAAGAAAGTTTATTTCACCACTGACCACCTTTTAGCTTCTTGAGCCATTGTCTAGATTTATTTTTAAATTTAGCATCTGGAATACTTGAAGAGGAAACAATAGGTTACATATATAAATGTAATGACATATTTAGAAATACTTCCTAAAATTTATAATATGACCTAAGGATTTACAAAAACAACTTTCAGAGTCTTAATAAAATGTCTAATTTGAAATAATGTTAAGCCTACATGAAGTTCCAAAAATAGGAGAAACTTTAGTGAAAACATCTTACGTATATAACCACATTGAATTATCAATGCCAGGAAAATGACAAAGGTCAGATACACTTCATGAAGTCCCTAACCTTGGAGAAAAGCCATGGTATCTCCAATCACTTCGTATGCATGTGAAGCGTGGACACTGAATAAACAAGACTGAAGAGGAGTCGATGCATTTGAATTGTGGTACTGGAGAAGAATATTGAAAGTACCATGGACTGCTAAAAGGACAACACAATCTGTCTTGTCAGACGTAGGACCAGAGTGCTCCTTAGAGGCAAGGATGGCAAAATTTCATCTTACAGCCATAGGACATGTTGTCAGGATAGATTAGTCTCTGGATATGCGGTCCAGCCTCTCGAACAAAGGGTCCAATAAGCGGCTGTGAAATTGAGGGAATGTGAAGAGACAGACAAAGCATCCAAGGGGTCACCTTTCCACAAGTCAGGAACAAGAGACAGACAGCGAAGGTATTCTCCAACAGGTTTATATAGTCTTAGTGCATGCAGGGCCTGTCAATCACATACATAACAAGGTGGACAGTGTCTTACCTTTAATGCCCCAATCTCTTTGAGGGAGTAACCCAAGACCTGTATTGGGGGCAGGCAGAGGGGAGTCGATTGCCCTTTGAGCGGGGAGAACAATAGAACACATTTGTTCTTAGAGATAGGTAGCCTTTGGTGCATAGTGACAGGCCATGTGCTTATAACATGCATCTTTAAAGTAGCATCTGTGGGATCCAGTCCACATCTGCATCCTAAGGGACAGTTGTGTAATTGAAGGGAAGAAATTAAGAGGTAGACAAAAGTTTTGGGGTGCTCACCTCCTCTATGGTATCAGGAACCAGGTCCAGGAGAGAGAGAGAGAGAGAATGTATTCTTACCAATTTATATAGTGTCAGGCATCCATGCTCACTTAATTACAGGTAACCACACAGTAACAAAGTGGGCTGTACCTTAACACTAGTGGTCCCTGAGCTCATTGGAGGAGTAACCTAACACCAGTGCTGGGGGCAGGTAAGGAGAGTGACTGTCCCCTGATCAGGGAGAGCAGTAGCAACATGTCTGCTCCATGCTAAAGCTGCCGGCCAGCTCGCACCCAGCCATGTGCTTGTAAGAGGTCACTTTATTTTTTTATTTTTTAAGAGGTCACTTTAAAGTAGCACTATGATGGGAGGATATTGTGGGGATCAATATTAATTAGTATGAGAATGTGATTAGGACTCATCTCTAACCCACAAGTGTGAAGGTATGAGAATCAAAGATTCAAGCGCATACACTGTGTTCCCATTCTGTGTTTCCCACAGCCAGCGTTTACAAAATATCTCAAAATCGATAGCTAGAAGAACCCCATTCAGTCATCCACTGCACCACAGCATTGCAATGGATTATCGAACCCAGTTGAGAAGCAGAGAGTGGGGGTGGGGGGAACACAGCTGGTGTCAGGACTGGTAAAGAGGTTGGAGAATGGTGACGTGTCTGACCATCACTAGGTGTGGCTGACCACCACTTCTTAGCAATCATCATTAGCTTTCTTTCGATGGTGAGTCTCCTCTTGAAGTTAGAGGATTTGTACTACTACCATTTTATACAAACTTATAACCTTTTGATGAATTCTTTAGTTAAAGAGTCGCTTGCAGGGACCAGTGAGGTGGCGAATTAACCAGTACTTAAATGACGCCAGCAATTCTCAACCTGTGGGTTGCGACCCCTTTGGGGGTGTCTAACGACTCTTTCACAGGGGTCGCCTAAGGCCATGGGAAAACACCTATTTCTGATGGTCTTAGGAACCCAGACACCCGCCCACATGCAGATGCGCCCACATAAGAGTACCCGGCATGAAGATTGTTGCCCATGCTACACCATGCTTCAAGACACAATGTCATTGATTTGTCATTAGAAATAAATATTGCACAATATATAACGACACATTGTTTCTGTAATGAATCACTGTGCTTTCATGATGTTCAATTTGTTACCATGAAAATACATCCCGCCTATCAGATATTGACATGACGATTCCTAACAGTAGCAAAATGACAGTGATGAAGTAGCAACGACAATAATTTTATGGTTGGGGGTCACCACCACATGAGGAACTGTCTTAGGAAGGTTGAAAACCACTGAAGTAAGCAATGAGGATAGAGAAGAGGGAGTAATCCAATGTTATTTTTGAGACAGCATCAACAGTAAGTGCTATTGACTGTGAGGATGAACCATAGGTTGTGTTTTGGATT